AGGGGATTAAAAGGGAGCTGATGTCAAGGAGTTCAAGAAGGAAGAGAATGTTTTGAAACTGATTGTGGTAGCAAGTTTCCAATACTGCTTGATGTAAATAAACTTTGGAATGATATATCAATATTAACTCCCAATAAAATGTTTTTTTTTAATAAAAAAAATCCATTAAATTAAAAACAGGTTAAAAACAAAGACTAAAGGGGTCAGACAAGAAGGGAGAAAGGCCAAGTGAATATTACTCAGCTGAGAAACTGATACTTTTGGGTTTCATTTGATAAATGAGGAAATGGCAAAGGGCCCCTACCTGAGGTCCTCTGGGCTCACAAGGGAGGAAAAGAACCCAGCCCAGGGCCAGCTGCACAAGACAGGGGTCAGCTAATCCTCCATGCCTCCATCCTTCTTGGTCCTACTCTGAAAATCAACCATTTTTCCCATGACACTTCTCTTCTGGGTTCAGTAATTGGCTGTAAGGGCCATGAAAACCTGAGACCACACTCACAAGTGTGGCATTTATTAGTAAATTACCAGGCTATGGGTCAGGATCAAAAAGCATTAAGGATTCATTCTCTGTCTGCAATGACTCTCTCTAGGTCTTGGCCTTTCAGCCACGAGGTCCCTTGGCCTCTGCCCTAACAGTATTACCAAATGAATTTAGCACTGAAAAGGCCCAAAGGGAACCCCCATTCTGAAACCCAGGCTCACACCCAAAGGCACTTGGCTTCGAGGGCCCCAGAAGCCGCCACTTTGCCTCAGTCTTGGTGCTGCTCCTCTGCGGTCTCGTGGGCTTGGTGTGGCTCCTTGGCTCTGTCTTAGTCTCAGCATAGCTCCTCTGCTGCAACTTCTAGTACCTCCGCTGCCTCCCCACTCAGGCAAGGATCTCAACAGTCAGCTAGTGGCTCTTACTTACGTCGTAATGATCATGGGATTCCTGCTTCTGAGATGGCTCACGCATACTCAGTAGACTGCAAGGCTGACCAATCTCCTAGTTGGGGTCCTCTACAACTATTTTCATAGACTGACTAGGTGGTAGTTGTGGGGGCTATGGATAAGTAATTTCACTCCACTACAATGGCTTTGGAAGTAAGTGCTGGCTTAAGTTGCTTATATCATCAAAATATAATAACCAAATGCTGCAATAAACTAATAACCCTCACATTATGAGACTAATTGTACAACTTAAGATTAACACTATGTTAATCTTAAATTGTACAATTAAGTTGTACATAGTGTTAACTCAACACACTATGTCCACAGTTCCCCAAGTAAGCTAGAAGAATCCAGACCGACTAAGCCATAACTATAAAGGTCATATGCCTAAGCAAAAGTGCAAGTGCCCTAGATATGGCAGAAACTGTGCCCCCAATAGTACCTGCTATAAATGGATTTCTACATATTACAGCAAGGCTAATTGGGCCAAAGAGAAACCAGGAACCTGAATTTTTAACCAGTGCCCCCAAGAAATCCTTATAAGACCATCTTAGAAAATACTCAATTACCTATGTCTAAATAAAAGGAATTTTACTAGGAGGCCTGCTCCATCCTTTAGCTCCCCATCCTCCAACTCCCCACTCCTTGATGGAGCTTATTAGAGCAAAGTCTATAAAAATTAAAATGCAAAGTATCCCTTTTGACCAGCGGACTGAGAAGAAACTATAGAAGTTTCAAATATAGGGTTACAAGTCTCTCTCATCCCCTTTCCTCATCAACCTTAAACTTTGTGTATACAATATAACTGTAATACAATCTATTTTAGGCAGAGAAAAGCATTACCAGATTCCCCAAGGCAAACATGGTAAGCAGGATTAATGTGGGTGTAAAGTATAGTACCACTGTATCCGGAAAACAATTTTCCCATGAATAATGAATCACAAAGTCACATGCCTTTGAAGCTGGCACTAACACAGCACCCCTGCAGGACAGATCGGAACTGCCCCCAGGATCTCCAAGGCTGTGAACCACTCCCAATGCGATGCAGGATGCAGACAGCTGCGTGTCTTTCTCCAGAGGAATGACTAGATTTAACCTCTTAACCTTCTGTTAGCAGCTGGAGTGCTTAGCAGATGAGGACAGAACAAGTAACAGGTGAGGACACCTGGCCTGACTGAGAGTGACTGCCCTTCAATCACCTGGCAAGAGGATGGGCCTAAGCCCAGTACACTGTCAACTGCTTTCAACAGAAGTCGGGAAGCCAGTGTTACTATGAAATTCCTCCAAATCCTGCTTACTACATTAGAAAATGTTCATTTGCTCTGCTCCCCAGCAGAGGACCAACACACGCCACTTTGTGGGAGAAATGTTGAGTCTTTCTGTGATGTGACTCATTAAACATGCCCTAGTTTTCTTTTCCAAGAAGCCACACCGCAAAAACATACACAAAAAGCAAAACACGAACCCACTGCCACTGGGTCGACTCTAACTCATAGCGACTCTATAACAGAGAACAGCCCCAGTTTCCAAGGCTAACAATTACTGAAGCCAACTGCCTCCTACAACCTTTCCGAGGTTGTAAAAGAAAGCCTCATCTTCTTTCTCCTGCGGAGTGACAGATGAAAGTGTGACCTGCTGGCTGGCAGTCCAGTGCTTTACATACCTCAATATCAGGGTTCCTTTCCAAGAAGTCACTGTTCTTGAGTTCAGCCACACTAGTGTCCTCCACCTTCCATGTTCCCCAAAACTAAACCACCTTCTTCCTGTGGCTCTCCACTATGGAGTGGAGTTACTGACTACTGGTGGGCGGAGCCTTGGTGGCACAATGGGTTAGAAGCTGGGTTGCTACCCACATGGTGACCAGCAGTTTGAACTCACCAGCAGCTCCATGGGAGAAATCAAGATCAATAGCCTTGAAATCCACAGAGGCAGATTCAATCTGCCCTATAGGGCTGTTATGAATCGGAATCGATTCTATGGCAGTGAGTTTGGGATCAACTCCATGGTAATGAGTTTGGTTTGGGGCATGGGTGTATCGACATCAGCAATGTGTTTTGGGTTTTTTGTTTTGTTTTTGGTGGGGGGAAGGGGTGAAGAGGCAGGTACATGCTAGAAATTTAAATGGAATATTGGATTAAACATTTCAATGGAATGAAAAACAGAGGCATGAAAGCAGTACTGAAAAGGAGGGTGAGCTGTGGTCAGCCATCTTTGGAAAGGGTGTCCAGCCCTTGGCTCAGGAGACTCTGGAACACTGCTTAGGGCACTGACCACCTGGACCGCTATCTCTTCTGGTGGGGCACTGGGAAAGGGACGGCACCACTTGAAGCCAATTTCCTCCTCTGCAAATGGAGAACACACACAGGTGTGACCTCAAAAAGTTGTGGGTATTTGTGGTATTACACAATATGGTGTCAACTGGCGAAGGGGTGGAGTCTAGCCTGCCAATCAGGTCACAACTTGATGACCTCAGTTGGAGATGCTGTGGAGATAAAGAACTCACTGGAGGCCAGATACAGAGACTGCTTCATCTTCCTGCTGACAAGACACATGGAGCTACGCTAGAGCCCTGGAGCTGGAGGAGCCACGTGGAGACCCCTGCCAGTGCTGAGAAGCTTATAGTGCCCCTGGATCCACAAGACTTTCTACCCACCAGCCTGTGAGCTTCCTGCATTTGGCGTCATTCCATGTGTTTCATGAGCCTGAAGAGGAATGTCTAGATTGGTATAGGACATATGGGCTAATATGGGACTTACTGACTTGATCTCGACTGGGAGGTTTTCTCAATATACAATTGCCCTTTTATATAAAGCTCTTTCTTATACACATATGCGTGTCTCTGGATTTGTTCTCTAGTCAACCCGGACTAACAGTATTAAAGGCAAAAAGTTCTGAATTTCTATATGCAGGATCTTGCTTTTTCAAAACGAACGTTTCTAGAAAAGGAGGAAAACGAACGTGCATAAAACGATCCTTTATCTCGATAAGCTCAGGGTCTGACTTGTTCCCCTAGAGCGGCGGATCTCAACCTGTGGGTGGCGACCCCTTTGGGGGTTGAACGACCCTTTCACAGGAATCGCCCAATTCATAACAGTAGCAAAATTGGTTATGAAGTAGCAACGAAAATAATTTTATGGTTGGAGTGGGAGGAGGGGAGGCCACCACACCATGAGGAACTGCTTTAAAGGGTTGCAGCATTAGGAAGATTGAGAACCACTGCCCTAGAGTCTGTATTATGACAGCCACTCATTTAGCCAATGGTAACTCAGCTTGTCGTGATGCCTTATCTACTGAAAATATAGAGATGGGTCAAAGGCAGACCTTGCTTGCAGGGCGCACTTCTTGTATAGCAGGAAATACATAACCAGATTAAGTGTATAAATGAGGGAGTTGCTCCTTGAGGATAAAGAATATCAAAACAATTCTCTTTAGATTGTGGCATTAGAGGCCTTTGATTTCTGAGTCAGCACAAACTTTGCCACGCTTCCCACCCATGGTTTCACATTCCCTACCTATGAGTCGGGGGCGGGTGCTTTCACTTGTCCATGCTCAGTTCCTCACAGCCAAATACTGCAGGTAAGATGAGGACCAAGACTGAACAAATTCACAAAAAGGATTCAAACAGAAATGGGTGAGTCCTCAAAAACATTAGCGCTCTCACTGCCATCGAGCTGATTCTGACTTATGGTGACCCGATAGGGCAGGGTGGAACTGCCCCTTTGATTTCTGAGACTGGAACTCTTTATGGGAGTAGAAAACCTCCGCTTTTCAGAGAAGGGGCTGGTGGTTTCAAGGTGCTGCTGATCTTGAGGCAAGCAACCCAACGCAGAACCCATGCTCCACCAGGGATTCTTAAATATTAGTATTGTCATCATAGGAGCTCTGGTGGTGCTGTCTGATGAGCAGTGAGCTGCAACTACAAGGTTGTTAGTTCAAACCCAGCCATTCCATGGGAGAAAGGTGAGGCTATCTGTTCCCAAAAAGATTTACAGCCTCAGAAACCCTACAGGGTCACTATTGAGTTGGAATGGGCACCAAGGCAGTGGGTGTACTGTCATATGGAAGAATGGTGGTGTAACTGGTGAGGGCTCGGCTGTACCCACTAGCTGCCTTGAGAGAGAAAGATGCAGTAGCCTGCTTCTTTAAAATGACAGCCTTGACAAAATCCTCGGGGGCAGTTGCTCTTGGTCCTAAAGGATTACTAGAGTTAAAATCGACTAGAGGACAATGGGAGTTGGGTACTGTTGTTATTAACTCATTATTAGTAAGTGGAAATATTCTTTTCTGCATCCAATTGTTTACTCCATATACATGGCAAGGTTTATTTAAAAACATAGTGCTTTCTGTGTCATATAAATGACACATATGTACACATAGCTTATAATGTCCGGGGACACCTAGATGTTTTCTTTCAACACATAACTATACTTATCCATCCCTGAAATACACACCACATTGGTAAAAGTTTAAGGCTTTCAAGGAAGCATCACATTTAGTAAGTAATTTATCTAAGTAACAAAACCAAGCCTTTGTGAGGGATAATATTTACTACCCTTCTTATACACTTAGCATATAAATGTGTGCTAAGGTCAAGGTTTTATCATTTAACAGTTAGGCAACCTGGGAAGGTACTTGGATGTTTGAAAGCAAAAGAAAAACAACAGATTAAGTCAGACAGAACAAAGGAAAACAAAACTCTCCTTACAAAGACGCCTTGACATTAAAGACAAAGGAAACTGACCACATTTTGTAAAGAGCACCATCCAGCAATGTTGAAGGAGGGCCTATTGAAATTTGCCTAATATGAAACAAATGTATGTATTTTTCTACTGAAACCCAAGGTAATGACTTTTATGGTCAGTTATCAGTGGGGCTCAGAGAACGCTTGGCAAACCTAGGATCCAAGTTGCAAATTGAAATTCTGTCACAACCTTGTGTAATCTTAAGGGCGCCTGCTTTCTCTAAATGTTTCATCATTTCACAACCAACCTCAGACATTAGTTATCATCCTGATTCCAAAAAGTTTGATTAGCTTCTTAGGTGCTATAAATGCCAGCACCTCCAATCAAAACCAAACCCACAGTCCAACTGCTATTGTGACCTTATGTGTAGGGCAGAATAGAAGGGCGCTGTAAGTTTTCCAAGGTTGTCAATCTTCGTGGAAGCAAAACTCCCCATCTTTCTCCCTTGGAACTTCGGGAGGGTTGGGGCTGAGCAGGTGAGGCTTTGCTGTGCCATCAGGGCTCCAGCTACTCAAACACACAGCCATCGGGTCGATTCTTATGCAGGGTCGCGCTAAGTCGGCTATGACTACCATGCTTAAAAATTAGTTATAAAACACTGACCTCCCTGAAGAGCAGGGTGCCTGAAGGGAAAATAAGCAGGCAAATCAGAATGCAACTGCTGACAAAACAGCTATCAACTAAGTCAGGCACTGTAAACTTTACATAACTAACTCATTTTCTCAAAGATCCCGAGTTGCTCGGTTCTATTCTTTTCAAATCATGACGAGGAAGCTCAAGGTGGTTCAGCGACTAGTCCGCGGGCACCCAAGTGGCAGTCTCCCTCCTGGTGCCAGGCTCCCCACCGTTTCCCAAGTCTTTCTCCCCAGTGCTGTCACCAATTAGGTACTTGAGTTAGGCAAGTCATGCCTATCCCTTCGGGCCTCAGTTTCTCCAACTGAAAATGGAAATGGCCTAGAAGTGTAAGGTCGCTTCCGGGTTCCAAGTGCTAGAAGACCACACGTTACGCGGGGGAGGGGTGGTGCGGAGCCCCGGCTCCAGCCGCAGCTCCGGGGCGGCGAGAGGTCCGCGGCCGGCCGGGCTCCCGCCCCAGACCCACGTCCACAAGGAAGCGCCCCGCGGGAAGGCGACGCCGTGCAACCAACAGGCTCCAAAAAGGCGCGCCGAGTCCGCCCCGCAGCCCCGACCCAAGCCCCGCGGAGTTACCCGTCCATTACATCCAGGTGCAGATAATCGGCCCCGGAGTCCAGCATCCGGAGGCATTCTCCCCCTAAATTGGCCAGGTCGCTGTTGAGGATGGAGGGGCCAATCTTGCATCCGGATGCCATGGTGCCGGTTCGTAAGACTAAGTGGCTCCACGAGTCGCCTCAGCCAGACCTACGCGTCGCCCCAATTGGCCAAGCAGCTTTGGCCCCGCCCTTTGCCCTCAGAGTCTTCCGGACTCTGCCGGAAGAAGCGCCTCCGTCGGGAGGAAGTCCCGCCTTTTCCTCAAAGTCGGTAATCAACCTCCGCGGCTTAGGGGCGGGACCTGGTCTGGGGGCGGGGCTTTGGCCCTCAACTCCCTCCTTTGACCCTCATTCTGGGAACGCCCTTGTGGGTTTCCCAGCGCTCTCAAGTTCTTTTGCTTTGGTTCCTCTGCAAGTCTCAGTCTTCTCTCGCTCCCTCAACTTTGATTCTCCTTCGTTTGCATAGTCGCTCCCTTCTTTTCTTCCCTGTAGTATATTTAATCGACATTTTGCAAACCAGGATAACATTTCGATTGGGGAATTAAAAATGTTCCAAAGATGAAAAATTTGAAAAATTCTTATACCCTATCTTCTGGATATTGCCATGGGAAGAGGCTGGAAGAGCTGTGTTTACATAATAACAAACTTAGGTAAAAATCAAACCCCACCCAACCCATTTCCATCAAGTAGATTCTGATTTAAGACCCTTTAGGACAGAATAGAACTACTCCTTAGGGTTTCTAAGACTGCAAACTTGATGCATGCAGAGTCCCACTGGTGGATGGATTTGAGCTAGCCCAACACTCACCCACTGGACCACATAATAACAATGTACCCTAAAACACAGCTTCCAATCCCACCCTGGAGATTCTGTTTCTCAAAACAGTTGGCAATTCTTCAAAAGAGCCTGAGGCAGAATGATCTTCACTGAACTGAGGACTAAGCTGTTTGTTGTCTGAGTTCAAGGTGACTGGAGCAACCCAGTCTCCTTGAGGCTCAAGGGTTCAAAAACCTTAGAGGGTAATGACCTGGGTGGGTGACCCCAACCTCCATGGTTCCTAGAAATCTAAATTTCAGGAGAATTGGAATTATTCCTCCAGAGGGTTAAGTGAGCTTATCTCGGAAATGAATCCAGCACTCTGCCTGGTCCTCAGTAAAAATTGGAGATTGTTAATATTCCTTTTTTTTTTCTGGTTCTGGTGGCAAAAGAGGCTAAGCATTTGAACTGCTAACTAACTGCAAGGCAAGGGCTCAAACCAGCCAACCACTTCTTTGGAGAAAAATGATACCGGTTGCTCCCCTGAACCTTCACAGTCTCAGAAACCCCAAGGAGTTCTACTCTGCCTTCTAGGGTCACGAGGAGGCAGGAGTCATTGAGGGTGGTCAGTGGCACCGTTCACTGGTACATTGCGGTGCATTCTGGATGGTTCACGTACCATCCACAAGGAGGTAAACTGTTCTGCTGCCGAATGCAATTAGGGTCATTGGGTCAGGAAATGAGATAGCAGTCAAATCACAAGAGGAAAGAATGAAGTTAGCAAAACTAGTCCTTAGAGGGTAAGGATAGGGCACTGAAAGAATGGTAGAATAGATGGTAACTTGGACTCTTATTTGGAGGACAGCCAAATCCTAACCTTCCCAGGAAGACCTCTACCAGCCATCCAATCAGGTCGCAGCCTAGGCAGAGCAGTCAAGATAAGGGTACTTGTGTCCCAGTGTGTCCATTATGCATTATTTTCAACATGAAGATGGAAGGCTTGTTGGGGGATAGGAAGTTGGAGATGTCAGATTCAAAACCAAACCAAACCAGACTCACTGCCATTGAGTTGATTTCTACACATAGTGACCCCACAGAACAGAGTAGAACTGCCCCGGTGTGTTTCTGAGATTGCAACTCGTTATGGAAATAGAAAGCCTCATATTCCTCCCATGGGGTGGCTGGTGGTCTCAAACTGCTGATCTTGCAGTTAGTAGCCCAACGCATAGCTCACGATGCCACCAAGGCTCCTCTGGCTCAAAATCCCAGGCCCAAATTGGATCGTGGCTTTAGGCCATTTTGGGGGGATGGGAAAGAACAGCAAGAGAGATTACTATTTGCAATGGCAACAACCCATTGTAAAATGAACACCATCCAGGAGTTGACCTATTATTCCCTTTGCTGAGAAATAAGAAATGAAGCTTACTCAGGCATCTTAAATGCTTTTAGATTTATTTTTACTATATATCCATATTCAAACACAAAAGTCTTAATATCTTTCATAAATATCTTCCATAAACATTTCCGTATTTTTCATATGCATTTTCCCATGCTCTTTGGTCAGTCAGTCTTCATAACAGATTTCATAGTCATCCAAGGGGAAGTTGGCTGTGTTTTCAATCTTTTGTTTTTAACTATAAAATGGCTAAGAAAGGATTCTCATCCTGCAGTCACAGTGACTATTAAAAAAATATTATGGAGGTACATTGATCTATAATCCTAGATAATTATAAAAGAATACAAATACGTTTGTCTTAAACTTATCCAAGTACATTCTGCCCTCAAATTGCTTTTATTCTCCTGAGTGTCAAACTAATGTTTGTTTTCTGAAGTGCTACCGTGGAGACCCACAGAGGAAGTGGGACTTCATACTCGCTGCCTGGACAAAGCAAGTGTGTTCACAGGGCCAGGGCATGACTCAGGGAGATAAGCAGCAAATCCCAGAGATTGTGTTCTATGCTAAGTAGCTCCTGCAAAGAGATATCGAGGAAGGATATTTAATTTGTGTTTGGGTGTGCGATTCTCTCATTTGTGAGCCTCTCTTCTTTGGGGGTTCCTGCACCCAACCTGTTCCTCTCATCTCAGATGCTCTTCAGCGGGACAGCAAAGTCACTGATGAAAGAAAGAGCTGCTAAACGAGAGGAGATGCTGCCCTGCTTAAAGCACTCTTGGAGCTTCAAATCGCAAAGCAGTTACTCCCACCTGTGCAGCCAAAGACGCAAAGCCCTAACTAGACCCAAAGCATCACAGGGATTTTTTTCGCCCCCCAAGCATTGCCCTGCCCTTTTATGCCTTTTGACACTGTGGTCCTAAGTGCTTTGTCCCAATGAACTCAATAACTCAGTAGCTTTTTCAGGAAAAGCAAATATCTAATAGAATTATAGAAAGCAGCAAATACTGAAAAATGAAAGAAAAAAATGTTTTGCTCTAGAAAATGTTGTATCCTAGATTCAAACTGGTTTAATTGAATTTGCGTGACAGAAATCTATTCCCATTATCATAGATAGTAAGCATGTATTCCATGCGTCTCTTTAATGTTAATCTCAGAAGAAGGAACCTCTTTGTTTGGTCTAGTTCTTTATCCACAGGAAGTAGATGCCTGCTTTGATTTTTCTTCTGAATCAGATCGATATCATCAAGCATCATAGCCTAAGAAATGACCTATTATGATCAATACTCTATCATATGTAACAATCGTCTTTTAGCCAGGTCCTCAATAATATTTTAAACATTACCAACATTTTGTTAATTTTCTTCGACTTTTATCCTCGTCTTCCCCCAATTTTTAAAAAAATGTAATTATTCTTTAAAATTCCAGGTAACAGTATTCCTGAGAATACATTTTGTAACAATCTTATGCACATACATGTAGATACTTTTTCCATTACACATAAACATTCAACACATTACATTCAACACGTTTAAGGGCACCTTAATGGGAACAGATGCACACATGTGCCAAATCTTAGTAGTTCCAATATGAAAACATCTCCACTCTGTAAGGCCTTTTTTCTCAGAGTGGAGGTGTTTTGTTTGCTCTGTTATTATTCTTTTTGCAAAGTACAACATTCTGAGCATGTTGAAAAAGTTTGAAACAGACTTCCATAAATACTGGCTAAAGGCAGCCAACCCGCACAGGCAGGTCTCAAAGTAGCCCAATATCTTAAAAAGAAATGTATATAAAGGTACTTAGGATTCTTGCTATACAGTTAACAATCTTCTTTGACCCCTTTGCTTTTAAAATATTTGTACAATTATACGTAGAGAATGTAAATCCAGAATCATGAAACTGGAACAAAGCATACACGTACATAGAGACTCATATAGAGCAGAGTCTTAGAGTTACCAGACATAAGGCCTTTAATGCTAATTGAGCAGCATAATTTTCAAAAGAAGAAATATATCAGCTTACAAAGAATCATAAAACCACTTATCTTAGACATATATTTCTGTACTTGAGAGATAATTCAGTATTAAATGTAAATGATATGAAAATATTCTGAAACATAAATGAGCCCACTTCACCTCTCTTAAACCTCTGTCTATATTTAGATATTTTTATTATCTCTCTTTATCTTCATCTCACTGATGCCTAGTGATTTCATTCTCATAGGGAGTGGAACCATAATCCCAAACTATACTTTGAAATGATAGGTCACAATATAAACAATGTCTATTTAATAAGCCATTCTAACAGAAAAATAAGTTTCCTTTATAATTAAGGTGGGTTTAGTAGGTCTCTTTATTATATACATATATATTTCGTAGCCGACATAGTTAAAGTTTTAGCACAAATAATGTGTATTTTTAAAAATTCATTGTAATGTCCTCAAAGTTTATATTTAAAACTTCAAGACTAGAACACACACGCACGCACCCACGTGCACACACACACACCAGACCAATTTAAGTATGCCTATGAATTTTGCCTATGTGTACTAGTTGCGTAGTAATTTTCAAATGTATACTGTTAAAATTCTGAAATTCGATTCTGAACGATCTGATGCTCAGACCTGCTACAATGAGTACTAGGTATTTGCTTTACAAGCCCTTAAGTTTCACAACTGTTCTTGAAGTCAATCAACTTCAATTAGAGGCCTACTTGTAAGACACAAGCTGGCTGTTTTGCACAAGAAATTGCTTACTTTATATGTACTTTTCTTCCTTTTATACTTAGGTTTACTAAGGATCCTAAGGATGTTAACACTGAGAAAACAATTATTTTATCAAACCAATTCTAGCAACCCTAACCTTAAAGCCCTCAAGGGCAGGCACAGGATACTGTATAAGAGACAGCCAATTGCACACAGTGCACTACAACTGGTCAAGGCTAATCGGTCTCTAACTTAGCAGTGATACA